TATACACTCTTCTAAATCAGAAAATAAGCTGAAAGGAAAACAGACTGTAAGTAATTAAATTATCGTAATTTATCAACCAGCCTTGTATAAAAAATGTTATAATGCTACTAAATTTGTTTGTTTTCTGCCTATATAAGCAAGACATTAACTTTTAACTTCAGAGCATTGACCCCCTTTCTCTAGAGTTTGTATTTCCCAGATGGCTATGTCTAGTTTTTTGCTTAAATAAACTCTTTAAAACTGGATCCTGATCCTTTCAATTACTTCAGGTTGATATATAATACACATAGTAATTGCAACATAAGATAGTACAACAGAATTGAGACCAAACAAAACAGCCATATCAATAAATCAATAGGCCTAACTTGTCTATTTTTGAAAAAGGATCTAAAACTAACCTACACAGTGAAACTCAACTCTGTGTTATATACAAGAGACACACTTAAAATGCAGTAATTCCAAGGATAAAAATAAAAGGATGGACGAAAATTTACCAGACAAATAGGAACAATAAGAAAGCAGAAATTTCAATTTGATTTCAAAGTAGACTTCAAGCAAAAGCACATAAAAAAGATAATACTTTATAATGTGAAATTATATAATAAAGGTGTAACTATTATGAAAAGGCATCAGAAACATAGCTTCCACCTATATAATATAAAAGCTATGAATTGCAAGAAGAAATACAGAGAAACACTAATAATAGAAGAATCTAACATGTCACTCTCGGTATGAGACAGGGCAAATAGACCAAAAAAAAAAACAAAAACAAAAAAAACCCTCAATAAAATTAGGTAGATTTCTTGTCTATATATTGACCATGACACCCTGAAAATAGAGAATATACTTTTTTTTTCAGTGCATATGGAACTTTTACAAAAATTGATCACAGACTAGGGCACAAAGAAAATATCAGTATGTCCCATAAAGTAGAATTATTGCAATGCAATAAAACTACAGATTAAAAATGAAATTTTTAAAACAGTCCTCTGTTATAGTTTGAATATTTGTTGCTTCTGAAACTCATGCTGAAACTTAATCCCCAATATGGCAATATTTAGGGGTGGGGTCTTTATGAGGCGATTAGGTTAAGGGGTTTGCCCTTACGAATGGATTGATCCATTCATGCATTCATGGGTTATCATGGGAGCAGAGCATGGCTAAAAAGGAATATCTGAAAGTGTGGAAGCAGCTTTGCAACGGGGTAATTGGAAGACACTAAAATAATTTTGAGGAGCAGGCTAGAAAAAGGCTAAAATTCCTGGGATGGAATACAAATAGAGATTCCAGTAAGGGCTTGGAAGACAAGAAAACCAGGGAAAGTTTGTAATTCCACAGAGATTAGTTAAGTGGTTGTGACCAGAATGCTGACAGAAATACAGACAGTAATGGCCATTCTGACAAGGTCTCAGATGGAACTGAGGAACAAAGTACTGGAATATAAAGAAAAGGGCATTCATGTTATAAACTGACAAAGAAATTGGCTAAACTGTGTCTATGCCGAGGGCTTCCTGGAAGGCCAAACTTGAGAGTGATGAACAAGGGTATCTGGCAGAAGAAATTTCTAAACAAAATATAAAAGTAGCTGCATGGTTACTTTGGCCACTTACACTGAGATTTGAGAATAAAGGAATAATATAAAGACAGAATTTATAATTCACAGTGAAGCAGAGCAGAAAGATTTGGAAAACTCTCAGCCTGGCCACATACAGAGTGAAAAATGTGTCCAGGAAAGAAAACCAAGAGTTTAACCTACCAATCTTTTGCTAAACAGATTAGTACAGATAAAAGGGAGCCATGTGCTATTTCTCCAAACAATGGAAGAAAGACCCAGAAGGATTTCAGAGACCTTCAAGGCTGCCCCTCCCATCACAGGCCTGGAGGCCTACGAGGGCAAAATGGTTTTAGGGGACAGGCCCGCAGCACTCTCCATGGCTGGCTGCCCAGGACAACTCTGGACTGTGCTCCCTGCACCCCAGCTGTTCCAAAAACACTCCAGCCAAGGTCAAGTGACTCCAGGTGTGACTACCGCCACAGCTCTAGAAGGTATAAGTAGTAAGCCTTGGTGACATCTATATGATACTAATTCTGCAGGCTTTCAGAAAGCAAGGACTATGGAGGCTTGACAACCTCTACTCAGATTTCAAAGGATGTCCTCAAAAGCCTGGGAGCCCAGACAGAGACTTGTCTCAGGGGCAGAGCTAATAGCAGAACATGGGGTTGGAGCTGACACAGAAAATCCACACCAGGGCAATGCCTAGTGGAGCCATGGGAGTGGGACCACCACCAGGATCTCAGAACTGTGTAGTTACCAGCAGCATGCAACATACCTCTGGAAAAGCTTCAGGCACAGGACTCCAACCCACACCAGCAACCATGTGGGCTACACCCAGAAAAGCCATAGGGGTAGGGCTGCTGAGGCCTTGGGCGCCCACTCCCTCCCACAGGCATCACAAAGAGTCAATAAGGAAACCAAGGGGGTAACCCAGCAACCATTTGCTAAACAGATCAGCACAGACAGAAGGGAGCCAGGTGCTATTTCTCCAGACAATAAGAGAAAGACACTGAAGGCATTTCAGTGACATTCCATGCTGCCCCTCCCATCACAGGCCCAGAGGTCCAGGAGGGCAGAATGGTTCCAGGCGACAGTCCTGGGGCACTCTCCACTGCTGGCTTCCCAAGGCCATTTTGGGACTCTGCTCCCTGCAACCCAGTCCACTTCGTGGCCACTCTGGCCCTGGTCAAATGACTCTAGGTATAGCTCATGCCACAGCTCTACAAGTGACAAGGCATAAACCTTGGCAGCATCCACATGATGCTAATTCATCGGGTTTGCAGAAAGCAACAGCTGTGGAGGTATGGCAGGCTCCACTCAGATTCAAAGAATGTCACTGAAAGCCTACGTGCCCAGGCAGAAATTTGTCCTAGGGCCAGAGCCACTGCAGAGATCCCCCATCTCAGCAATCTGGAGCAAGAATGTGGTGTTGGAGCTGATGAGAAGAGCCATGGAAGTGAGGCCTCCTCGGTGTCCCCACTAGGGCCATACCTAGTGGAGCCATGGGAGCCGTGCCACCACCAGGATGCCAGAACTATGAAGTCACCAGCAGCATGTAAGGTGTGCTTGAGAAAGCTTCAGGTACCTGACTACAACCCATATAAATGCCCATGTGGACTGCACACAGAAAAGCTATAGGGGTCCAATCCCCCCCAATGTCTCAAAGAGATGGCATATGGAGTCAAAAGAGATTATTCTCCAGCTTTAAGATTTAGTGTCCTTCCTGATGGGTTTCAGACTTGCTTGGGACCTTAGTCCTTTTTTTTTTTGCCAATTTGTTTAGAATAGGAATTCCTGTCTTATGTGTCTACCACACTATATCTTGGAAATAGATAACTTGCTTTGATTTCATAGGACTCTGGACTTTGGTATTGAGTGAATGTATTTGTAAGAAATGAGTTTTGGGGGCCAGGGATGAATGCTATGGTTTGACTGTACATCCTCTCCAAAACTCATGCTAAAAGTTAATCCCCAATGTAGCAGTATTGATAGGGGACCTTTAAGAGGTGATTGGGTCATGAGGGTTGTGCCTTCATGAATGGATTCATCCACTCATGGATTAGTAGGTTACTGGGTTATCAAGGGAGTGAGACAGATGGGTTTATAAGAGGAAGAGAGACCTGAGCTAGCATACTCAGCCCCCTGGCACCATGTGATGCCCCACACAGCCTCAGGACTACGCAAAGTCCCCACAAGCAAGAAGGCCCTGACCAGATGCTCCCCTTTGACGTTGGACTCCTCAGCCTCTACACTGTAAGAAATATATTACTTTTCTTTATGTATTACCCAGTTTCAGGTTATGAGCAACAGAAAACAGAGTAAGATACTCTTCTGATAAAAATTTAGGAATTCTCTTGAGTAAAAGCAGAAATTCAAACAAATCACAGAACTTATGAAAAATAATTATTATGAAAACAATACATATCAGAATCTGTGGGATACACTAAAAGCAGTTTATTCATAGCCTAAATACTTATTATCAATAAATATCAAAGAATTAAAGTAAATTTTCTACTGAAAAAGGAAAAAAAAAGAAAACAAAGTGAACCAAAACAAATCACAAGGATGAAAATAACAGACCAGAGAAGAAAAAGTAGGTAAAATTAATAAATCAAAATCCTGCTTCTTTGGAAAAATAAACAAAACAGACAAATCACTGGGTAACTTAAGACCAAAAAAGTGAACAAAGAAAAAAAGCATAAATATACAAAATAAGAAGGGACAAGGGAAAAATAACTACCAATAAAGAGGAGCCAGAAATTATTTATAAGAGTCTACCTTGTAGACTGCTATGCAAATAATTGGAAATCTTAAAGGAAGTTAGCAGTGTCTTAGGCTGTGGAAATGTTCCAGATTAAAGGAGGCTAAAGAGACATGACTACTAAATGTAATGCTGCCCCTAGACTGAATCTTGTACTGGAGGAAGGAAAATGCTATAAAGACATTATTAAATCAAGTGACAAACCTGAATATGGATGGTAGATTAGATCAGAAGTATATTTATAAAGTCAATTGTACCATGGTTATGGAAGAGAATATCCTTATTCTTAAAGTGCCATGATGTATTTACGTTAGTCTAAAATGGTTCAGAGTTACAAATGTATGTGTGCACAACACACATACACAGAGAGAGAGCCAGAGTGGACAGCACACACAAGGGACAAAGAATAATATAATGGTAAAGTAAACGGACTAAACTATTCACAATAGGTGAATCTGAGTAAAGGTTATCCTATTGTCCTTTCTACTACTTTATTTCTACAACTTTTTGTTATGTTTGAAATTATTTTCAAATAAAAAGTTTTCTAAATGACATTACAAAATTAGAATCATGTTACTGATTCCATGTCTGTTAATAAAAATCTCATTCCTAAAGGAAAAGTCATTCCTTTACAATCAATGTTAAATGATCTGAAACTTTAGGTGGGAAATAAAAAGAGCTTACCCATGAATAGGAACGCAAAAAAGCTTTTCCATATTAGCGAGAGTAGTTCTTACAACCTCTGGTGTTCTGGAAGAACCCAACTCAGTTATCAAGAGTGATTTGGAAATATCTAAAAATTAAAAAAAAAAAGTTTTAAATAATCACTAGATTTTAATAAGTAGAATTCTAGGAAAAAAATTAACACTTATAATTCAGAATAAAATAGGACATTTTTATCCCTTACCCTAGCTTTATCAAATTTGTTTCTAAGCTTTTAAATATCAAAATATCGATAAATATATTATCCCAAAGTGATCTTCTTTATAAGCATCAAAGACTCCAACTTCAAAGACCATTCCCCTAAGAGCGCAGAATGTAACCAATTTGCCTGCATGCACAATGCCTTTAGTGGGAAATAAGCAACTATCTTAAATATAAAAGCAGTAGAAATTAGAAATTAAATTCAATACAGAATTTATGTATAGATTTGAAATTTTAAAAGAAGTCAAAATTACATGATTACACGGTAGGTCTTATCTAACTTCCATTTCCTATGTCAGGAGATCATCCAGAGCTTTCCACTCCCCTCTGAAAAGTCCTGACTGAAGCTCAAGACACACTGAACACTCCCCACATTTCATCTCCTCCCACCAGCTGAGATGTGTGGGCACCAGCTATGTTTGTTCCCAGCATGATTATAACTGTCGTCCTACATCCAATAGCAGTATCATTTAATTTAATATTATAAAGTGAAGAATGATTACGCAAAGGGAAACAGTCGTGTCTATGAAAGCTAACAACACCTTCCTTTGGTGCTAAAATGCATGCACGTTTTTTCCCATTAACATCTCAAAAATGAGGATGCATCATCCAATCCTTGAGGTCTTAGAATTCAATAAAAAGGAAATGAACTAAAAATCTGATATTAAGTATTCGATTGAGGGGAAAAATATAAAAGTCTAGAAAGATTCCATACTCAGGTTGTTTTGCAAGTATCTTTAAATTCTTGCTGCACTTAAAAGAATTTGAAAGTGCAAACGGTGGAAAATTTTAGATGTGGTTAATGGAAGAAAGGTTACTCAAAATGTCAATCAGCCTTGAGAAAGAAAAAAACCACTTTTTATCTGAGGAATTCAAGTCCCTTTAAATTATCAGGCCCAGAGAGGCATTTAAAATATAACAGCAGTCACGTCTCATTCCCCCTTGAGCTAAACAATTATGTCTTGAAGGCATTTGCTATGCGGGCTCTAGACTAACTGACGCCAAGTAGCCAAAAAAAATGCCATGTGTCCTATGGTTCAGCAATGTACAGCCAATCACTAACCAATGTTATTTCTGTAAACCAACAAATATTCCTGAAGAACAACTTTTGTAATCACCTCCCGTTCTGATTTATCCTTTTTTCTTGAAAAACTTGAGCCTCTTCTTTGTTTTCTGTAGCACTCTCCAAGGCAACCTAAAAGTGTGTCCAGTGTTTCAGTCCTCATTCTTGGCCTAAATAAACTATATTAATTTTGCCTGACCGACAGCTGACAGGTTGACAGCCGTCACAGAAAAAGACAACTTAAAATGCCAATCATCCAGTTCATGAAAAATGAGTATGTATCATTTTTAGTGATTCCCAACATTAAAGAACTATTTTTCCCAATTTGGTATATACCAAAGGCATCAGATCAAAGGAATTCTATGAAGAATCTGAGAGGCGCTGGCTAAACAAATAAACTATAAAGTCCACTAGGGTAGGAAGCCAGTCTTCATCATCTTCCTCTTTCCATCACCCAATACAATGTTGAGCCTGAAGTGTTTGCTCAATTGCATCTGCTTTTCCTGCCTCCACTCCACATTCAAAATACAAGTCAAAATAAAGGAATAAAGAGAAAAGAAACATAATTTATGAATCAGTTAACACTTGGAGAACTCTATAAGAGAAATTAAAAACAATCAAATAGGAGTACACAATATCAACTGCACCAAAAATTGGAGACTAAACCTACCTTCTTGCTTTGAAACCTGTAGTTTCTGACCATTACAAAAGGCTCCTTTTCCTTTCCTGCCAGTGTACATCTTATCTTCCACACAGCTGTACACAACTCCAAATTCTATCTGCAGAAGGAAAACAAGTTTCGTTTACCAATCCTGAGTATTTTTCATCATTAAATCAATACATTTCTAGCCTAATCAGACCAAGAGGTCATCAGTCCTGATATCCTTGACTCCCTTCCCTTCCCTGTCCAGACTTAAATAAGAGCACCCACCTTACCTCTCTCCCTCCTGTCTCAGATGAAGACAGATCTTTCCTATTTTCTAAGGTGAACAGTGTTAGGATTCCTGTCCTCTCATATATTCCCTGAAAAACTGCTCCATCAACTGATCCCTCTCCTCTCAGATTTTTCTTCTGGTACCTTCTCACCAAGTCTCTCCCTCCCTTACAAAACCTTCAAAATGGCATCCTCTCCTTTTCCCTTCACTGGCAAACAGCAGTCTGCACTGTGCATCTCCTATTCTCCTCTTAATGCATTGCACTTTGGCATCTTCCCTGATCAATCATTCTGAAACTCCCACACAGAGAACATCAACAAACTCTTCCTGACCAGACGCCTCATCTGAAGAACTGGACACAGCAGGCCGTCATTAGCACTTCTTCAGTATTTAATTTCTACCTCCATGTCGCTGGCATTACTCTCTTAGTTCTCCCTTGCTCATTAATCCATCTCTGTGTCATTATGTTAGAAAGCCCCAACCTTAAAAGTTGTGCATCTCAGGTTTTTTCTCCTTTCTTCCATTGCTTCCATTTCCCACTTAGCTCTTCATATTCTTACAGGTTGGTCCTTTCCAGCCCAAAAATTCCACTACCACCTATAATTTTGGCTCCCATTAACCCATCATCACAGGAATGAGTCTACACTTCAGAATCTAGTCTTGTAGGAGCCTTAGTCAAAGAGGTCAAAACCACTCATTGCCTGGTCACCTCTCATTCCTTCCCCACAAATCTCCTCTTTCAAATTTTATCTTAAAAAAAACACATCCCAATTTTGGCATTTCCTTGGCTATTCTCACTGCCTCATCTTAGTTCTGAATCTCCCACTTCCCAACATAATCTCTACCTTGCTGAAATGAACTGTCACTTTTCCCTTTAAGACCACTATTGTTTTCCTACTAAGAAACAAAAACTAAATGTTTCTATTGTCTTGCAGTAAGGCCACTACTAACTAAACTGATCAACGTCTGCTCTGGTCATTTCCAGTGTTTCCTCTCAAAGAGCATCTCACTGTTCCCCATACACATGATGCTCTTCAACTTCTCCAAGCTCTTCTGTCTGATTAAAATGCTTCCTTTTTCTTTTGATGCAGCAAATCCCTAATTTTCTAAGCACCAGCTCACATGACCAACTTCTAAGATCCCTTCTGTTATGAAAATTTCCCCAACTCACACATGGCAGAATTGGTTACAACCTGTGTTCCAAAAGTATATTTTTTTCATGATTCCACCACACATTATTTTTACCTGTTCATACATCTAACTCTTCACTGAACTGTGAGTTCAGTGACAGGGACAGCACCTAGCCCAGGGCTCATTATATACAAAATGCTCACTTAGCTCCTTTGAGATGTTTTTACTGATTTACGCAACCCTGTGGCTAAGCTTTTATTTGTATTAATTTGTGTTTTAATTTTTAGAAATTTCTTAACTGTTTTGTGTATATATTGATCAAACATATCACAAGTTCCTTGAAGACAGGTAGTAAGATGTTAGTAAACATCCATCACTGTCTGACCAACCAAATAGCCGAACGACAAGAAAATGCAATAGCTATGAATGTTACTTTACTGGGCTTTAGACATAAGTATTCAGTAATGTTTAGGTTCCTAAATATACTCTGCATTTTCCAACCATGCTTTGGCCCCTACCACTTCCTGATCTCTGAATATCTCTCTTTACTGACACCTATTAAAGCATTCCTTTATCAAATCCCACCTCTTACTTATGAAGCATTTTAGATCACTCATCAACTCCTATCATATCTAACTCTTTCACACATATAAAGGTGACTAAATATGGAATTGTATTTCAGTTACTTGTGTATATTTTCTCCTTACAACTCCTAATTCTCAGAAAACGACTCCTGATTCTCAGAAAACAACTCCTGATTCTCAGAAAACATTATTTTTTTCACTAAAAATTTATTAAGAAAATGTTAACAGTCCTTCCTGTAGCTTATATTCAAAATAATACAGTTTATAAGTTTAATACAGAGACATTTGGAATTTATTATGAAGACACATTTTATCTTGCTCAGAAAATTAGAGCAAGGCCTTTTATCAACCATACATTTAAAACAACATACCTTTTTATTTATAGCAAAGCCAATTGAAACAGCTACAAAAGGAAATCTTAAAAGAAAGACAAAAAACAAATTTATGAGGATATAACTTATTTGTCATAAAATTAATAAAACTCATCTTTTCATAAGGTAAGTGCTTACAAAATTTTTCATATAAAGTCTCATCCCTCCTCCTGTGAAAAGGTAAGACACAGAACAGTGTTTACAGTATGCAATCCTTTGTGTAAATAGGAGGGAAAGGAGTGATATTATATGTACATAAATGCATACATACAGGATGTTTCTACAGGCATGAAACCAGAAAGTGATAACAATGGTCACCTCCAGAGATGCACCCTGGGAAACCGGGGACAGAAGTGGGAAAAGCACCTTGCACTGCATGCCATTTTATATCTTTAGAATGTCAAATGCTAGGAATATAGTAACTATGTAAATATATTTTTCCAAAAAATAAAAGTAAAATTTTTAAAAACTTTTAAATTATCATTAAAAAGAAAAGATTATTTTTGGTCACTTTCCCATAGCTTGAACCAATGATAGACACAAGTACTGCATTGTGCAGCATAAATTGTTGTTACTTTTTCTCTACTCCAACTCCAACCCTGGAGCTGGACATACGAAAAGTAAACTGGCTACGTGACAGTTTGAACACAGGTGTAATTTCTGACTCAGAAGAGCATTAAGATGAAGAAAACAGATAAAACAGGTTCCACGCAACTATTGAAAATAAAAACTTTAAACTATTTTAGTTATTATTTTAACAAAAATTGATCATACTATACACACTGTAATATACAATCTTCTTTTCTTGCATTATAACATATCTTTAGCATCTTTTCAGATTTAAAAGACATATCATTTCTATCACATAAAGATTGCAGGCCTTAACTTTATAGACTTTAACAATTCTATATGTAGTACCGATGTGTACAACTACATGGCAACTTCAAATATAACATCAATGTGTACTCCCACCAAGCCAGGCTACTCATTATAACTCTCGTGGGCAATTCTATCAGGCTTTCTTCTAGTGGTAATATACTGAGTTATAATATACTTACTCTGTGCCAGGGACTATGCTAAATCCTATTTAAGTGTACTAATCATTGAGTCCCAACAAGAAACAATTCTATGAGGCAGGTGCCATTAATATGATCATTTTATACATTTTTTTTTGAGAGAGAGAGTCTCACTCTGTTGTCCTGGCTAGAGTGCTGTGGCATCAGCCTAACTCACAGCAACTTCAAACTCCTGGGCTCAAGCAATCCTTCTGCCTCAGCCTCCCAAGTAGCTGGGGCTATAGGCATATGCCATCATGCCCAGCTAATTTTTTTCTATATATTTTTAGTTGGCCAATTAATTTCTTTCTATCTTTAGTAGAGACGGGGTCTCGCTCTTGCTCAGGCTGGTTTAGAACTCCTGACCTTGAGCGATCCGCCCATCTTGGCCTTCCAGAGTGCTAGGATTGCTGGCCGAATTTTTTAAACACAGAGGTTTAGAAAGATTAACTAACTTGCCCAAGGCCACAATAAAAAAGGACCAGAATTGAAGCCCAAGTCTGTTGATCCTATCACCCCTGCACTTTTGAATCCTGTTTGCTCTCTTGCACTCAACTCATTCCATATCCTGGGGTGACAACACTCCAGGAGGGAACTCCTTAGTTTTTTCACTGATCTCAAAGCAGCAATGTCGTTTACTTCCATTTTTACATGGCTCCAACAGTGAGAAAAAGAACGGTGAATAGGGTGCTTTGTAGCACAAGACAGAAGCTCACACATTAATATTTCTTCCCCTCCTCCACAGCTGGTGAGAAGTCTGCATAGTGCATTTGGCTCTACTAATCACTCTAAATAGACTTTCTTAGAATAAAGCAGCACAAATTACACAGTTCTCTAAAGTGTATATGTTCCTCAACAGAGTGCTCTAAAAGGCCAACCAGTTAATATACCAATAATAATTATATTAAAAATTGTAAAACATACTTGTGAACAAAGTTAGTTGTTCCATCAATAGGGTCGATGATCCACGTGGGATTGTCGGTTAAGACACATTTCTCCCCAGCTGCCACAGACTCCTCACCAATGAAACTAAAAGCAAGAATGACAAAATTCTAACTTTACATTGCTTTCAACAATTTCCAAGCCATAACATTTCCCTAGCTACAGTCTACTATAAAACATAAAACTCTGTGCCCTACTTTTCTAGTGTTGCTCTTTTTTCTTCCTATAAAGACTAATAAAAGTGAGGCAGCTTTATTTCCCCCAGAACAAATTCATGTTAAAAAGTTACGGAATTCAAAATTCTAAAATATAATACCAGAGTAAATAAAGGCACATGTATGTGCCCTCGTGCATACACACAATCTGAAAAGAGCATTTGCTGCATATGAGAAATCATTAGAAAAATGTGGTGATTTTATAAACAAGTCAGGATAATCCCTTTCTTCAAGAGGAAGAGTCTAATACCCTTTGCCTTGAGTGTGAGCTAGGCTTAGTGGTTTGTTTCTAACCAATAAAGTGGAAGTAACAGTATAAAATGTTAGAGGGTAGTTCACAAAATGGCCCTGTGGTTTGCATCTCATTCGCTCTGCTTCTCCCTCCCTTTGCCACCCACCCCTCACTCTGGAAGAAGCCAGCTGCTATGCTGTGGGCTGCTCTGTGAAGAGGCCCACATGGCAAGGAACTGAGGGAAGCCACCAGCAGACAATCCTCGAGGGGCTGAAGTGTGTCAGCAATCACACAGAAGAGTGACCCTTCAGCCCCAGTCATGCCCTGACCACACTTTGACGGCGCTGTGGCTCCACGCCTGTAATCCTAGCTCTTGGGAGGAGCGAGGCGGGCG